TGTTGCCCGGGCTAGAGTGCTGTGGCGTCACCCTAGCTCACAGCAACCTCAAACTCCTGGGCTCAAGCAATCCTTCTGCCTCAGCCTCCCGAGTAGCTGGGACTACAGGCATGCACCACCATGCCTGGCTAATTTTTCCATGTATTTTTAGTTGTCCAATTAATTTCTTTCTATTTTTAGTAGAGACGGGGTCTCGCTCTTGCTCAGGCTGGTCTCGAACTCCTGAGCTCAAGCAATCCTCCCACCTCAGCCTCCCAGAGTGCTAGGATTACAGGCGTGAGCCACCGCGCCCAGCCCGAAGATACACTATTAAGTAGAGGAATCAAGTAGTAGAACAGTATATATGGTATAATTTCATTAAATATATAAATTATGTGTATTAAATAAGCATATAAAAATTTAATAATATAAAGCATACAACTCCACTCTACATTATATACACATTTGTGTTTTTCTGTAGTTTTTATAATTAATGACATAGTAAATATTTAGCTATATGTATCAAGAAATCTTGATTTTGTCATAACTTTTCATCCATTAATTCAATTTCTTAGAATAAATCTTGAGAAAATGATCAAATGCACTAAGATATAAATACAAAAACATCCATAATAGAGAAAAAATTATGTGGTCTTAATTCAATCTGTTGTATAGAAAATCTGTGTAATAGACTACTTTGAAATTATCAATATCATGACAGATTTTTATTATAGCTTTATTGAAATATTATTCTCATACCATATAATTCACCCATTTAGAGTACATAATTCAATGGTTTTTTTAATATATTCAAGAGGTGTGCAACGATCATCACAATCAGTCTTAGAACATTTTCATCATCCCAAAAAGAAACCTCATGCTCATTAGCAGTCACTACGCATTTTCCTTGAATTTTCCGCCCCCTCTCCCAGCCCTAGGCAACCATTAATCTACTTTCTGTCTCTATGAATATAACTGTTCTAGACATTTCATATTAATAGAATCAATATGTAATCATTAGTGACTAGTTTCTTTCACTTGGCACAATATTCTCCAGGTTTGTCCACGTTTTAGCATGTATCAGCACTTTGCCCCATTTTTTTTTTAATTTTTATTTTTTTGTAGAGGTCTCACTATGTTGCCCAGGCTGGTCTCAAACTCCTGGCCTCAAGTGATCCTCCTGCCTCAGCCTCCCAAAGTGCTGGGATTATAGGTGTAAGCCACCATGCCTGGCCCACTTTGTTCTTTATTGCCAAATGATAATCCATTTTATGGATATACCATATTTTATTTATCCATTCATCAGGTGATAGACCTTTGGGGTATTGCCACTTTCTAACTATTAGGAATAATGCTACCAGGAAGATACACGTTTAAGTTGTTGTGTGTACATATTGTTTCATTTCCCTTGGGTATGCACCTAGGAATGGAATTGTTTAGTCATATGGTAACTCCGTGTTTAACATTTTGAGGAACTGCCAAGCTGTTTTCCACAGTGGTGCCCCATTTTACATTCCCACCTGCAGTATGTGATGGCTCGAATTTGTCTACATTTTTGCCAATACCCATTATTATCTTTCTTTTTTATTGTATCCATTCTAGTGGATATAAAGTGGTATCTCATTATGGTTTCGATTTGCATGTTTCTGATGACTAACGATGTTAAGCACCTTTTCATGTGTTTATTGGCCATTTGTATATTTTTTTTGGAGAAATATTTATTCAGGTCCTTTGCCCATTTTAAAATTGAGTTATTTGTCTTTTTATTATTTAGTTGTAAGTGTGCTATATATTATAGAGATAAGTCCCTTATCAGATATATTACTTGCAAACATATTCTCCTGTTGTTTGTCTTTTCACTTTCTTGATGGTGTCCTTTGAATCGCAAAAGTTTGACATTTTGATGAAGTCCCATTTATCTATATTTCTTTTGTTACTTGAGCTTTTGGTGTCATATCTAAGAAACCATTGCCTAATTCAAGGTCATGAAGAATTAGACATATGTTTTCTTCTGAGAATTTAATAGTTTAAGCTTTTGCAATTAGGACTTTCATCTATTTTAAGTTTTGTAGATGGTGTGCAGTAGAGGTCCAAAATTCAGCTTTTGCATGTAGATATCCATTTGTCTCAGCACCATTTGTTGAAAAGACTACTCTTTCACCATTGAATTGTCTTGGCACTCTGGTTGAAAATCAATTGGCTATAAATGTGAGGATTTATTTCTGTACTCTCAATTATATTCCATTGATCCATATGTCCTTAGGCCAATAACCACACTGTCTTGATTCCTACAGTCTTTTTTTTTTTTTTTAATTTCAGGGTTTTATGAGGGTGTGATTCCTACAGTCTTATAGGAAGTTTTAAAATCTGGAAGTGTGAGGCCTCCAATTTTGTCCTTCTTTTTAAAAATTCTTTGTCTATTCTCGGCTTTCTACATTTCTGTATGGATTTTGGGATCAGCTTGTCAATTTCTTCAAAGAACCCAGATAAGAATTTGATAGAGATTATGTTGAATCTGTAGATAATTTAGGAAATATTTCCCATCTTAACAATATTGTCTTCCAATCTATGAACATAGGATGACTTTCCATTTAATTAGGTATTCTATTTCTTACAACAATATTTTGTATTAATAGTGTTTGGTGTACAAGTCTTGGACTTTTTATTAAATTTATTTCAAAGTGTTTTATTCTTTTCGATGCTATTTTCAGTGGAACTCTTTCTTACTTTCCTCTTCGGATTGTTCATTGCTAGCATATAGAAATAGAATTGATTTTTGTATATTGATCTTATATCCTGCCACATTCCTGAACTTATTTATTAGTTTCATAGTTCTTTAGAGGATTCTTTGGGATTTTCTATGTACGAGATCATGTCATCTGCAAATAGAGATAGTTCTTTCCTTTCAATCTGGATGTCTTTTATTTCATTTCTCTTGCCTACTCTGGAAAACTTTGTATGTCAGAAAATAAAGCTCTTCATTTTACCTCAAATATTTAACTAATTATACAAATATAATGTCTGTAATAACCTATTTTTTACTACTGGTCAGAAGTGTTTCCTTATCACCACTAAAAACTTGTACACTTGGATGTGTAAGTGAGCTCTCTTGTTTTATTCCTCTTACTATATATATTCCATTACTAGAGTGGGTTAAGATTATAGCTTTGTGTCATTCTGCTTCTTTGAAATGTGAGCTCCTCCATCAGGGATAAAAGAAATAGCACACCACGTAAGAGAAGGTAGCTAGCACAGTGCCTGCACATAAGTGACATTCTCTAGAAGGCAATACTACATACTTGTGGCTGTCCTTTGTGTCCCACCACACATAGTAGTGTCACCGCCCATTGGGATGATGGACAGTTAATAAAGAATTGTTTTTACTGCATTTTAAGTGCCCAATATATAAGGATTAATTATTTTTATAAACCAAACACCCAGAGATAACCAGGGTAAACAGATGTACTAAGATTATGTAACTAAATCTGTATTGATGGACATTAGTGACGTTCCATTTCTTTTCATTACAAACTAAGTCAACGGAATCTCTACTGTAGCCCCAGTACCAGCCAAGAGTAAATAGTCAATAAATAATTGCTAATTATTGGGAATTTTTAAAACAAAATATTTTAAGCATAAGGTTATATTTTAGCACTGTATTAACTATCTCCAAGGGTAAATACTATAAGTGGAATCGCTGGGCCAAAAGATCAAATATTTTATTTTTAAACAATTTACAAAGTTGACCTTCAGAAAATGTACCAACACATTCAATAAGAGCAGGGGAGAGTGCATGTGTCCCCAGTCCTTCAACAAAATCTGTTACAAATTTTCATGTAATCCAATCTATCAACATTTTCTTTAATTGTTCTTTATTATATTCACGTCATGCACCACACAACAATGTTTTGGTCAACGATGGAAAGCATACAATATGACCACCAGAGCCATAGGCTATACCATATAGTCTAGGTATGTAGCAGACTATACCATCTAGATTTGTATAAGTACATGCTATAATTTTCCCACAACTACAAAATCGCCTAACGAGGCATTTCTCAGTATCCCTATCATTTAGTGACGCATGTATTTTATTTAAAGACCTTCCATACCAAAGCTCATGTGGAGATAAACAGAGACTATCCATGTGAGAACAAAGGGAGGCTACTTATTCACAGCTTGTTGTAACAAGCAAGTCAGCCACCATCATTTGAGTTTGGCAGAGTCAAAGGCAGACGGGGAGTTGGAAAGCTTTATAGTGAAAAATCCCAGATTTCAGGTATGCTCTGAATGGCGGTTGTTGGCATGAGGAAGCTGGAGGCAGGACTAAGAGAAGCAAGGCATCCTATGTGATTGGTTACGGGTACATATTTAGCTTTTTCTTGTTGGTCTCGGGGCAAAAAATTGGGAAGGCTGGCGAGTTGATCAAGTCATGAAGATTTCTGCACAGGCTGTGGTTGCGCTTCCTGGGCTGCTTGCTGCACAGGTTTTGGGTCACAGTTCTATTGTCATACATGGTCTGGTCACTGTCCCTTGTATATTTAGTTTCTCACTTCAGATAAATTGTTTTTTATTCTCTTTCAAATATAATTTCATTTTTGTGTTCATTAGAAATTTTGTTTGTACGTGTCCGGGAAAGGGGACAATTTCTTTCTTTTTCTTTTTTTAGAGACATTTTCCTAACTTTTTTCTACAGTGCAATTTTCTACTCTTCATACAATACTTAAGTTCACATTTATACGATTTTATTGGGTGAGTCTACATTCTTTCAATGGAATTTAAGAGCAACATTATGAAGACTCCTCCCCGGACCGCCCAACCCATTTTTTAAAAAAGACTTTGTGATTTTCATTAAAAATTCTTTCTTTGACCAACTTCTCAACCAGAAGGAAAAGAACAAAAGGCCCGGGGGAGGTGAGGGGATACCTGCTGGGAGTGGCGCGAGCGGCGGGCAGGCGCGGCTAGCAGGCGGGGCGTGGGACTCCCGGCTGCGCGGTCACGTGACCCGCTGGGCGCAGATGTGGGCACCAGTCCGAGCGCCTGCCCTGTCTCCCTGCGGTCTTGTCCCGTCTGCTCCGTTCCCTGGGCTCTTAATTGTTGCTCCAGCTTCTTTCAGGTCAGTGTGAGGGCCTTCCATGCGGCCAGCGGAACCCTGGAATGGGGAGGGAGCGGGTGCGGCGGGGGCAAGGCTGAGGATGGGGTTTGGGTCCAGGGAAGCCGGCCCCAGTGTAGACAGAGATGGCGGTGGCAGAACAGTTTAGGGTGGCTGAGGAGGAGCAAGCAGCCAGTGGACAGAGGGTGGGGAAGGCGGACACCCCAAGTATCCATGCCCGCTTTCTAGGCACCTCCTCTTTTCTGCCGTCCGTCCATTTTGGAACCGGAGATGGTGGGCTGAGGAATGCCCCAGCAGTGAAATAAACCCCCTCTGCCGTTCCGTGCGTAGAGAAAAATGTTGACCGCCAGGGTGGGGAGGCGAGTTGCCTCTAGGGAAGAAGGACTCAGAGATCCAAGATTAGTTTGGAAAACATCCTGGATTGGTGCCTGAGGCCTGGAAAGAAATGGCGGCTGGGGTGCAGGGGAGGACGGGGAGGAAAACGTTGGGTGAGGAGCGCCCGGATTCAGGAAAGGGACCAGCGTCCCTATGAGCCCACTGAGCGGCCTGTCCCTGCCCTGTCTCTGTAGGTCTGCGTGTCTGTAGCTCTCTTTGAGGCCTGAGAAGGAGGAGCAACCTGTCCAGAATCTCAGCAGGTCCGTGAAGAGGTGGGCAGCAGGGACAGGGACCCAGAAGGGTTGAGAGTGTGGAGGTCACAGCCTGGGCAGAATTTGGGGCCCCACCGCCCAGGCTGAAGAAGTGTAGAGAAGGTGGCTGGGCTTGACAGGGAATGGTGGGCTCATGTATTTGAGAGGAGTGGTGGGGTAAGTGGTGGGGTAAGCGGTGGGCAGAAGGCACACTTGGAAGTCCAGCGGGGGTAGGGGAACTCTCACCAGGGTTGAGATGCAAGTACTACCTAGACTTGCATTCCACCCCATGCCCTCAATCTCCCATGTCTCCTCTTTGTCTCCTCTTCCCTCCACCTCCAGCCCCCAGGACAGGAAAAGGAGGGGAAATCTCAACATGGAAAAACTCTGCAGTGAAAATGAAGGAATGCCTTCCAACCAAGGAAAGATGGAAAACGAAGAAAAACCACAGGATGAGGGAAAGCCAGAAGTAGCTTATACTCTGGAAGACGGGGAGAAGTTAGAAAACAAGGCAAAGACAGAAAATGAGGAAATGTCAAAGGATAAGGAAAAGCCAGAGAGTGAGGGAAAAGCAAAAGAAGGAGGAAAGCTAGAGAGGGAAGGAAAGCCAGGGAGTGAGGAAAAGTCAGAGAGCAAGGAAGAGCCGAAAGAGGAAGAAAAGCCAGAGAGTGAAACAAGGGCTGCAGGAAAACGCCCAGCTGAGGATGATGTACCCAGGAAAGCCAAAAGAAAAACTGACAAGGGGCTGGCTGAGTACCTCAAGGAGTATAAAGAGGCTGTACACGATATGAATTTCAGCAATGAGGACATGATAAGAGAATTTGACAATATGGCTAAGGTGGAGGATGACAAGAGAAAAAGCAAACAGAAATTGGGGGCATTTTTGTGGATGCAGAGAAATTTACAGGACCCCTTCTACCCGAGGGGCCCAAGGGAATTCAGGGGTGGCTGCAGGGCTCCACGAAGGGACATTGAAGACATTCCTTATGTGTAGGGCCCCAGCAGGCGTTTACCAGGCCCTGTGCTTTAACCTTATACTAATACTTTACCAGGTATCCTCCTGTTAACCAGCAGCCTTTAGACCTAACTGCAGTGCTCTAAGTTTCAGTAGCAGATTTTCATCTGTTGCATGGAAAAAATGTTTATGGTGCATTGTAAAATTAAAAAACACAACTTGCAGAACCAAATATGTGGCATCAGTACATTTTGTAAAACTCCAAAGATACCTATCTATATATAGAAAACAACTCTGAAAGCAGTGTCTGCTAAAAGATTAACAGTGGTTATCTGTGGATGATGTTTTTTACTATTCTTTTTTGTTCACCTATCTATTTTCTCCTACAAACACAGATTACTTTAGTCATAAAAATAACAAAAGATACAATTTTGGAAAAATTCATAAGCACTCAGAAGAACTGTACAATGAGTTTATTAAGGCAGTGGAGACACTTAAAATTTTTGTCAGGATGTAAAATGATAGGTAAAAATCACATTACCTCTGGGACTTGAAGCTGGAGGAGTCAACGAACAGTTACTACAGATCCACTGCTATAAGGGACAGCTTTGCTATCTGTGAAATGGTGAAACTTGCCTTCCAGGGCTGTGGAGAAGATCAAATGAGGTATTGAATGCATGAACTGTGTTGTGCTGGCTCCTACAGTCTCGCCTGCAGTGGCAGAACCAGTTCCCAGTTAGACACTTAGGGGAAGGCTGAGGGAGGTCTCACCTGAGCCCAGAAATAAGTCCAGTCAACCGAGAGGCGGGTGTCACTCTCCCCTGGGTACTGCCCTGTCTGTTGGGCACTGCCTCTTCTCATGTATCCTGTGCCCTCCTAAGGCCCCCACCATTGCTGGTAGGCTGGAGACTGTGATGGACCAAAGCAACACTGTGTCCAAACAAAAGAGTGGAGGATTCCTCTCTACCTATTAATACAATAGAGTTCCCCTAACCCTCAGTGGTAGTACCCAGTTGTCACTTGGGCCTTGATATTTTATAAAGTTCTTAAAAAACACTCCTTTCTGGCCAGGCGCGGTGGCTCACGCCTGTAATCCTAGCACTCTGGGAGGCCGAGGCGGGTGGATCGCTCAAGGTCAAGAGTTCGACACCAGCCTGACCAAGAGCGAGACCCTGTCTCTACTAAAAAATAGAAAGAAATGATCTGGACAACTAAAAATATATATATAGAAAAAATTAGCTGGGCATGGTGGCACATGGCTGTAGTCCCAGCTACTCGGGAGGCTGAGGCAGTAGGATCGCCTGAGCCGAGGAGTTTGAGGTTGCTGTGAGCTAGGCTGACGCCACGGCACTCACTCTAGCCCGGGCAACACAGTGAGACTCTGTCTCAAAAAAAAAAAAAAAAAACACTCCTTTCCATGTTTTTGTTGATTTGTGTGTGTTTTTGCATATAGCTGTCTCCATTGGATTTAGATACTAGAGATTGAGCCAGGAAAATAGTCTGAGTGACCAGATGCTGTGCTATTCTCACTTGTTAATCTCTTGTCTGCTGACACTTTTTTCTTAGGAATTGTCTCCTAGGAAATTCCTGGTAAGCCCTGCCTTACTATTTCAACAGATACATCTACCTGTGTGATTTGTACCTCTGGCTCTTCAGTAGCTATTTATTTGCTTACAGTACTTTTTAAATAAACTTTTATTTTAGGAAAGTTGTAGATTTACAGAATTATTGCAAAGATAATACGGAGTTTCTATTTACCCCATATGCAGTATGCTCTGTTATTAACAGTCTTAGTATGATGCATTTGTCACAATGAACCAATATTGATACATGATTATTAACTAAAGTACATACTTTACTCCGATTTCCCCTAATGTCTTTTTTTCTGTTCCAGGATCCCATCCAGGTTACCACATTACATTTAGTCATCATGTCTCCATAGGCTCCTCTTGGCTGTGAGAGCTTCTCAGACTTTCCTTGTTTTTGATGACCTTGACACTTTTGAGAAGTACTGGTCAGGTATTTTGTACAACATCGCCAAATTTGGGTTTGCTTGATTTTTGTCTTGCGGTTACACAGCTGTTATGTGTTTTGGGGAAGAAGGCCACAAAGGTAAAATGCCATTCTCATCACATCATATAAAGGGTATATAATACACTTATCACTGTCGATGTTAACCTTGGTCATCTGGCTGAAGTAGTGTTTGTCAGGTTTCTCCATGGTAAAGTTACTCTTTTATTTCTCCCTTTCCAAACTGTACTCTTTGGAAGAAGTCACTATTGGCAGCCCACACTTAAGGAGGAGGGCATTACCACCTCCTTGATGGTAGAGTATCTACAAAAATTATGTGGAATTCTTCTGCAGAGGATATTTGACTCTTCCCCATTTCTTTTTATCAGTACAGACTCATGAATATTTATTTTATACTTTGGATAATAATATAGTACTACTTTACATATTTCATTGCTCAATTATTCTAGCTTTGGCCATTGAAATCATTCATTTGGCTCCTGCATTCATTTGACATACCCCCATCATTGTGTTGTGGATGGTTTTTTAGTATTTTCTTACTTTCTAGAGGCACTATAAGATGCTCTAGCCTTATCTTGTATGTTTCCTGCCTAGAATCAGCCATTTCTCCAACATAAGCTCTGGTATCATCTTATGTTGGAGAATGGTATTAAAAAACCAAGATCTGGGTCCTAGGCATACTCATTGCTATTTGGATATCATTGCTTCTAGGCCTTCTCAGTTGCCAGACCGAGGAGATCTGTGTGTATATAATAACCCATATATATGGGTTTCTTTATATATATATAAAGAAAATGTTTATAGAAATATAAATATTTCTATATGTAATTGGCTTTATATAAACCTAAACATGAGTTTATACTGGTGTCTCCAACTACAGTCTACTACTGCATGGATCATTCTAGCTTCCTCTTTCTCATCTGTAACCTTCTACTCCAACTATGAGAAACGTATCTGCCATCCATTTTGTTAATTGTTCAATTCTAGTATATATGTATAGTGGTTTTAAAATTGTTAACCTGTACCCCTGGAAAACAACTTTATCACCTAGAGTAGAGTGCTATGCAAGTTCCTTTTGCCTTTAGTCTTACAGACTCCACTCATTTCCAAATTTACCTGTGTCGGCACCTTATTCCCACATCCCTTTCAGTGAAGTTATTTATACATTTGTAAAACATTTAAATTCTTGCGTCACATTCTGCATTTTGGGAGTGCTATTGTAAATGGTATTTTTAAATTCCAAATTCCAATTATTTGTTGCTGGTATATAGGAAGACAATTGACTTTTTTATATTAATCTTGTATCCTGGGACTTTGCAGCCAGGAGTTTGTCAGTTTTTTGGCAATCATGTCATCTGGAGATAGTGTATTTCCTCCTTTCCAATCTGCATGTTTTCTTTTTCTTTCTTTTTTTTTTTTGTCTGTTGCCCTAGCTAGAACTTCTAGTACTATGTATAGTAGGAATAATGAGAAAGGACATCCTCACCTTGTTCCTGACCGTAAGGAAAAAGCATCCATTTTCTCACCATTTTTTTTTCTTTTCTTTTTCTCTCCCCTCACCCATTTTCTCACCATTAATTGCAATGTTAGTTATAGATTTTTGGAGATATTCTTTATCAGACTGAGGAACTTCCCTTCTAATTCTAGTTCATTGAGTGCTTTTATCAGGAATGGGTGTTGGATTCTGTCAAATGCTTTTTCCATATGAAGTGATTTGGTCATACAATTTTTCTTCTTTTAGTCTGTTATCTGTTAATGTGGTAGATTATATTGATTAATTTTCAAATGTTGAACCAGACTTGCATAATTTTTTTATATATTGTTGGATTTAATTCAGTAATATTTTGATGGGGATTTTTATATTTGTGTTCATGAGATACTAGTATGTATTAATAGTTTTCCTTTCTTGTGATGTCTTTATCTGGTTTTGGAATTTGGGTAATTCTGGCCTCACAGACTAGGGCTGGAAGTGTTTCTCTGCTTCTATTTTATGGAAGAGATTATAGAGAATTGGTATTATTTTTTCCTTAAGTCTTTGGTAGAATTCACTGGTAAAACTTTATGGTCCTGGCAATTTCTATCTTTGGGAGGTTATTAATTATTGATTGAATTTCTTTAATAGAGACAAGGTTATTAAGGTTACTTTTCCTTGTGTGAGTTCTGGTACCCTGTGTCATTTGAGGAGTTGGTTGATTTCATCTATGTTAACAAATTTGTAGGCACAGAGTTGTTCATAGTATTTCTTTATTATCTTCTTAATGTCCATGGGATCAGTAGTGACAACCCTTTTTTTATTTCTGATATTGTTAATTTGGGTCTTCTTTCTTTTTTCTTGGTTATACTGGCAAATGATCTATCAATTTTATTTATCTTTCTAAAGAACTAGCTTTTGGGCCGGGCGCGGTGGCTCATGCCTGTAATCCATCCTGGTACTCCGGGAGGCCGAGGCGGGCAGATTGTTTGAGCTCAGGAGTTCTGAGACCAGCCTGAGCAAGAGCGAGACCCCGTCTCTACTAAAAATAGAAAGAAATTAATCGGACAACTAAAACTATATAGAAAAAATTAGCCAGGCATGGTGGCGCATGCCTGTAGTCCCAGCTACTCGGGAGTCTGAGGCAGGAGGATTGCTTGAGCCCAGGAGTTTGAGGTTGCTGTGAGCTAGGGTGACGCCAGGGCACTCTAGCCCGGGCGACAGAGTGAGACTCTGTCTCAAAAAAAAACAAAGCAAAACAAAACAAAAGACCTAGCTTTTGGTTTCATTGATTTCCTCTGTTTTCCTGTTTTCAGCTTCATTGATTTCTTTTCTAATTTTTATTATATCTTTTCTTCTGCTTACTCTAGGTTTAAATTACTCTTCTTTCTTTAGTTTCCTAAGGTGAAAGCTCATGTTACTGATTTTAGATTTTTCTTCTTTTTTCATATATGCGTTAAGCTAGAAATTTACCCCTGAGCACTGCTTTTGCTATATCCCACAAACTTGGTATGTTGTATTTTCATTTAGTTCAAAATATTTTTACATTTCTCTTGAGATTTCTTGACTCGTGTTATTTAGAAGTATGTTTATTTTCCAAATATTTGGGTTTTCCATCTATCTTTCTGTTATTGACTTCTAGTTTAATTCTATTGAGAGCATAATTTTATGATTTCTATTCTTTTTAATTTGTCATGGTGTGTTTTTATGGCCCAGAATATATTCTGTCT